CACAACACCCTACACAATCTAATCTACATAAAAGTTTGACACACCCCCATAGGCAAAGTGGGGGAGAACAAGTGGTCACAAGACCAGTCAAGAAAAGCAAAGCAAGCTCAGGGTGGATCACAAAGTCACCACAGACTCCGAGCACAAGCAAAGGGCCAGAAGGCCAGTTCACATGCAGAGTTATATAAAAGAGAACGAACAATACAGCGATCATACCCTAGCAAGTGCAAGCATGCAGGCATATATAGAGATCACAGTACAAGCAAAGTCACGCAGTAAGCAAGTGAGGCAAAGTAGGCACAAGGCCTAACACAGTAGAGAAGCGCTGATGATCACCAGGCAGAAGTGCCTTGGTGAATATATCAGCAGTGTTGGCCCTAGTGGCCACGTACGCAAGACGAAGCTGGCCACGCTGTTGCAACTCTCGAGCAAGGAAGTATCGCAGAGAAATGTGCTTCGTTCTGTGCTCTAGTCTGTGCTCCTGACACAAGGAAATCATGGCCTTGTTGTCTACGTATAGAACTGGAGGCGAACAAGGCTGCTCTCTCGAGTCAGTCAGCAGGTAGGTGAGCCAGCGTAGCTCCTGTGCAGCCATGGCCCCTACGTAGATCTCAGCCTCAGAACTGGAGCGGGTAGACCGCCAAGAAACAGAGCCGGAGCCAAGGCTGAAGGTGTAACCCTGTGACGACCGCTGCGTAGCTGAGTCGTCAACCCAAGAAGCGTCTGCGTGACCAGTGAGGACAACTGGACCCCATCCTCCAAGCACGAGCCCCATGCCCGATGTACAGCACAGGTAACGCAGTACCCTCTTCGCAGCATCCCAGTGCACCTTTCGGTGCCTACCGGGAGCCACGTAGCGAGTCAGAAGGCTGAGAGGGTACGCAAGGTCAGGTAGTGTGCACGTCATCAGGTACATGAGGCAACCCACAAGCTCTGGGTACGGACCACTCGGCTCTAAAGACTCGTCTGAAGGTGGAGCTGAGAGCGAGTGGCTGGTAGACAAAGGAGTGGGCTGTGGCGAGGAGAACTGGAAGCCGAAGCGCTGAAGGACCTGGTGCACCATGTGTGACTGAGTCAGGGTGATGGTGCGCCGTGCTCTGTCCCGGGTGATCTGCAAGCCAAGATAGCTGCGCAGTTCACCCAGGTCAGCGCAGGTGTGTCTCTTCTGCAGCTCCGACTTCACAAGGGCCAGTGCCTTAGTGTCAGCAGTGGCAAAGACGAGGTTGTCGACGTACACGAGGACGTAAAACGGCAGCAGCGACGTGTCGGTGCGTAGAATTAGCGACGGGTGAGCATTAGAAGGAGCAAACCCAAGAGCCGCAAGTGTAGTCCTCAGTGTGTCGTGCCACTCACGAGGCGCCTGGCGGAGACCGTCGCATGGCCGCAGGAGGTTCCAATGGGTACCTGCAGGAAACGACCTTGTGAAGCCAGGTGGTTGGCGCAGCCAGATCTCCTCGTGCAGGGTGCCCTGCAGGAAAGCTGTGCTGCAGTCCAGAGAGTGCAACTCGTAGTCACGCTGAGCAGCGACATGCAGCAACACCCGAAGAGCAGTCATCTTCGGGGTGGGGGAGAAGGTCTGGAAGTAGTCAACCCCATGTCGCTGATTGAAGCCTCGAGTAATGTAACGCGCCTTGAAGGCAGGCGGAGAACCAGGCGGCCGCTTCACCCTGAAAATCCACATGCCATTGACTATGTTTGCCCCAGATGTGGGATCCTCGTCGACGTAGGTGCCTGTGGATTTCCACGATGCCATCTTGGCATCCATGGTTGCCTGCCACTGAGAGGAGTAGGGACCCGTAATCGCCTCTGCGTAAGAGCGCGGGGTCGGGATGTCTGGTGCATCCGGGCCTCCCTCAGGGGCAAGCAGCATGGAAGCGAAACGAGGTACAGCAGCTGCAAGACACTCAAATTCCTCCTGCCTGTCCTCAAGGACGTCTGTGCCAAGAGCACACTTACCCCCGACGGACGGAGGACTGGCAGACGCAGACTCAGCAACAAGAGCAGTGGCGTAGTCTAGACAACAGGAAGCAGCAAAGTCAAGCAGCTCAGCAACGAGGGCAGACGCAGCAGCAGAATCAAAGGAAGGGTCAATGACAGCAGTGGCTAGGAGACGAGAGACAGTGGGACTGGTAGCACGAGCGCGCTCAGAATCACGGTCTGGGACCTCAGGAAGAGAGGACTCAGGAGGAGCAGGCAGAGGAATACGTAGTGGAACAGAGGAAGGACGAAGTGTCATAGCGTGTGTGCCTGGGACAGGAGGAGGACGCGGATGAGGAACGTGATGACCAGTGCGAACAAAGGAGGCAGGACGAGACGCAGGCTCACGATGCTCTGTAAGACCGCCGGTCTGCTCAGTGTAAGGAGAGGGAGCAGGTAGTGGGGAGGCCGGCTGTAACGTCAGCTGCCACAGGTCAGGCGGTGGACACAGTAAGGGAGGAGTAAGTCCAGTAGAAAATGGGACACCAAGAACCTGCTGAAGCTGGGGAACAAAGTACGGTCGCGGCCGCACAGTGCCTCCAGGGTCAACATCTCCAGCACCTCCAGCTCCAGCGCCTCCCGCGCCATTGTCTCCAACTCCAGCGCCTCCAGCGCCTGCGTCACAAGCGCCAGCAGTTACTCCAGCACTTCCAGCTCCAGCGGCTCCAGCACCTCCAGCTCCGGTAGCTCCACTCCGAAGGCGTGCGGGCCGAACAAGCCACTCACGCAGCTGCTGCGGAGACAGTCTCGGCGAAGCACCAGCAGAACCTCCAGACGAAGCAGCACCCTGAGGCTCAGCACCCCCAGACTCCGCACCCTCCGACTCAGCACCCGCAGGCTCAACAAGGGGCCGAGGGGCCCGGGGCCTAGGTGCATCGGGCCGTGGGGCCAAGAACGAAGACGAGGAGGGGGCGCGTGGCCTAGGCTAGGGGCGACGAGGCGACGGGCCGCGGGGCCTGGGCCTAGGCTAGGGGCGACGGGTCGCGAGGGGCCGTGGGGACGAGGGGCCTAGGCTAGGGGCGACGGGCAAGGGGCCACGGGGCCTGGGCCTAGGCTAGGGGCGACGGGTCCCGAGGGGCCGTGGGGCCGAGGGGCCTAGGCTAGGGGCAACGGGCGACGGGCCGCGGGGCCTGGGCCTAGGCCAGGGGCGATGGGTTGCGAGGGGCCGTGGGGCCGGGGCCTAGGCTAGGGGGGACGAGCGACGGGCCGCGGGGCCTGGGCCTAGGCTAGGAGCGACGGGTCGCGACGGGCGACAGGCCTAGGGCGACGGGTCGGGGGTCGACGGGCCGGGGCAACGGGCCGGGGCGACAGGTCGCAACGGGCGATAGGGCGCGACGGGCGACGGGGGTCGCGACGAGCGACGGGCGACGGAGGGGGTTGGGCTAGGGGCGACGGGTGACACCAAGGGGCGACGGGCCTAGGGGCGACGGGCCGGGCTATGGGTGGCGACGGGCCGGGGCCTAGGGGCCTACGGGTCGCGACACGAAGTAGGGGCAGCATGACGGCTGCTAGCAGGGTAGCGCTGTGGTGGGCCCAAGGAAAAAAAAACGGTGCTAGCGGAGGACCTGCTCTGATACCATGTGAGAATAATGAACGAGAATGAATATACTAGCAAAGAGTTGGGTACAAGTACTAACCCTAATTGGGTTGTACCCCTTATGGGCTACCCCACTACAGCCTACACAATGTAAGTTATATATAAGTTTGACATGCCACTTTCCAGGGAACGGCGTGGTGGTGGTGATTCACGTTGCACTGCAATAAAATGGTTCTCTATTCATGAAGCGGGCTCTGGTAGACTGGTACACATGTCGCTCCCTCCTACCCTCTTCTTACGTCCCCATCGTCCGCACCCCCCTCGGCATACCTCCACTCCGTGCCCACCATCAGGCGCACGCAAGTCGACAATCATGCTGGCCCTGCTCCGCCTCGTGCAGCCGTGCAGCGGGCGCATCCTCATAGACGGCCTCAACACCGCCACCATACCTCTCAATCCCCTGCGCAGAAACGTGCATGTGCTTGCACTCCCTTTGATGCTGCTCCCACCCCACCCCACCCCACCCCACACCACACCACCATCGCTCTCATGCATGTGCCTGAGATGGAATGTGCGTGAGGACAGTTTTCAAGCACGGACGTGCCTCCGTTACAACGGTGGGCAGTTTGAGTTGAGAAGTGATTTTTAGGCTGAATCTAGTGATTTCTTGATTCCCTTAAGATCCCTTGCACCACCCATCTCTTCATTTTGCTCATCTCGTATTTCCAAGTACTCACCAATCTCTGCACCGTTCACTCCATTTGCCACCCTTCCCTCCCACCCACCCTCCTTCCCTCCCTCCCTCCCTCCCTCCCTCCCTCCCTCCCTCCCTCCCTCCCTCCCTCCCTCCCTCTCTCCCTCCCTCCCTCCCTCCCTACCTCCCTCCCTCCCTCCCTCCCTCCCTCCCTCCTTCCCTACCTCCCTCCTTCCTTCCTCCCTTAATTATAATGCCAATTTGTTTTCCTCTCTCACCCTCCCATCCCTTCTTCCCATTTTCCTCCATCTCTCCCTGCACAATGAACAGGTCACAGCGATGCCTCTGGATCCCGTTCTCTTTGGCAGCTCTCTCCGGTTCAACCTTGACCCATTCAAGTGCGTCCCAATCTTCCTGCAACCCACCCCGTTTCTTTACCTCAAGTGCTCACTCATATGCCACGGTCCTCTTCTGCTCTTCTCTTTGTCAACACTTCAGTTTTGTCACATCTAACCCCTTCAGATTGCGCCTTGTCCAGTCGGCACTCAAATGTGGCGTCATAGATAGGTCGCAGTGGTGGGAAGGGGTGCAGAAGATGAAAGGCAAGCCTGGGGCCCTGTAGAGAAGGCATTGGAGCTGACACAAAGGTTGCCTATTAGCCTCCACAGGGGGCTGTTTTGAGCCCTTGGCAATGTGCAGCTGAGAGGCCCCTGCCCCACTCTCCCCCATCTCACACCCAATTCTTGACCCTTGTACTTCCATCCTCCCTCCTCAGCACCCGCATGGAGCTCTATGGGAGACAACAGGCGTAGTGCAGCTGAGGGGCAAGGGGAGGGGTGTGGGGGCTCTGCAGAGGGGGCTTTCTCTGCTCCTTGTACTATTTTCTCACACACAGCCAACTGCCCATCCCCGAACCCTAACCCCTGTCAACCCCTCTCAGCCAGCACCCAGATGCGGCGCTATGGGAGGCGCTGGGCGCAGTGCAGCTGAAGGGGAAGGTGGGCGCGCTGCAGAGCGGGCTGGAGGCGAGCATGAGCGAGTTTGGAGAGAAATTCTCTGTGGGGCAGCGCCAGCTCCTGTGCCTCGCACGGTGGGTGGGTGGGCTGCTGTGCTGCTGTGCACTGCTGAGGGCGGCTTAGGATGGGGGCATTGGGAAAGACTTCTCTGTGGGGCGTGAGAGGTGATGCGTGTGCGCGTGCGTGTATACAAGACAATTGGAGCCTTTGTGGCAATGTTTCAGAATTCTAAGAAAAATCCTGTACCCACTGGCAACATCTCATCCCAAGCCCGTCCCTCTGCCTCCCTCCTTTCATCCCCCCTCTCCTTTTCTGCACTGTTAATGGTCGAATACAATCTCGCACTTGCCTACTTTTCACATAGACGTAATTTTGTGCGTTGGGTGTTACATTAAATTCTCAACCATATTAGCATTTCAGTTGATCTCACTGAGGATTTTTCCAGATTCCGTTCCTTTTTTTTCCATCTCATTCTTGATGTACTTGATAGCCTTTAGCTCCTTGATCAATCCTTTCAGTTCAAGCTCTTACAATCACCCCGCCCACTGTGTAACCCCGACACCCCAACTCTGTGCTCTGACTTGACCCGTGCGCTCTGCCAGGCATAGCAGCCAGCATGATGCGACCTCTGAAACCTCCTACTTCTCCGCTTTCTTCCTTCCCTTCCTCCCCTCCCCCCTCCGCCTCTCCCTTGCCCTGTCACAGTGCTGTGCTGCACCGCAGTCGCATTGTGCTGATGGATGAGGCAACGGAGAACGTGGACTGGGCGACAGATGTGGTCATCCAGAGCACCATCCGCTGCCACTTTGCCGCCAGAACCGTCATGACCATCGCCCACCGCCTGCACACCATTGTCCACGCGCACAAGGTGAGACTGCCTGCAATGGCATTTGCAGAGAGAGGAGAGGTGGGCAGATGAGGGGGGAAGTGAGGGGGAGGGGGGAAAAAGGGTGGGGGTGGTGGGAGGGGGTTTGGGGGAAAAGGGTAAGAGCTCGCATCTGCCCGCACTGTCGTTGGCACGCCCAACAGATGACGAGAAGCGGAAAATAAGCATGTCCTGGCATGCCCTACAGATGACGACATGCGGAAAATAAGCATGTCTCTGCATGCGGTAAATAAGCATGTCCTGGCATGTGGTAATTAAGTGTCAGATATATATGCCTTAGCCTATGTAGGCTGTAGTGGGGTAGACACTAAGGGGTACAGCTTTCATATTTGTATCTCACACTTTCCTAGTTCATTCATTCATTCCTGTTTCAATCTTCACATGGTATAGAGCGGGTTCCCTCATGGGACCGTTCCTTCCTAAGGGCCCACCATAAGACATTTTTTTTTTTAGCTGCCCGAAGCGCGTCTCGCGCCCTGCCCTAAATTTTTTTTTTCGCGACCCCCTAGCGGCCCCTAACGGCCCCTACGCGGCCCCTACGCGACCCTACGCCGCCCCTAAACGGCCCCGTCGCGGCCCCGTCGCGGCCCCGTACCTGACGCGGACCCGTCCCTGACGCGGCCCCGCCCCTACCCGGCCCCTCCGCGGCCCCTACGCGGCCCCTACGCAGCCCCTACGCGGCCCCTACGCGGCCCCTACGCAGCCCCTACGCGGCCCCTACGCGGCCCCTACGCGGCCCCCCACGCGGCCCCTACGCGGCCCCTACGTGGCCCCTACGCCGCCCCTAAACGGCCCGATCCGGCCCCGTCCCTGACGCGGCCCCTACGCGGCCCCTACGCCGCCCCTACGCTGCTCCTACGCGGCCCCTACACGGCCCGACCCGGCCCCGTACCTGACGCGGCCCCTACCTGACACGGCCCCGTACCTGACGCGGCCCCTACGCGGCCCCTACGCTGCCCCTAAAAGGCTCCGTCCCGGCCCAACCCCGGCCCCGTCTCGGCCCCGTCCCGGACCTGCCCCGGCCTCGACTCCGTCCCGGACCTGCCTTGGCCCCGACCCCGTCCCGGACCTGCCCCGGCCCCGACCCTGTCCCGGCCCTACCTCGGCCCCGTCCCGAACCTGCCCCGGCCCCGACCCCGTCCCGGACCTGCCCCGGCCCCGACCCTGTCCCGGCCCCGTTGCTGCCCCGTCCCGGACCCTGCTCGGCCCCGACCCTGTCCCAGACCTGCCCCGGCCCTGACCCTGTCCCGGCCCCGTTGCTGCCCCGTCCCGGACCCTGCTCGGCCCCGACCCTGTCCCGGCCCTGTCACGGCCCCGACCCAGTCCCGGACCTGTCGGCTCCGCCCCTGGTAAGAGCCTAGCCGGGCCGAGCCGCGCGGCCGAGCCGCACTGCTTTGCCGAGTCGCCCTGCCGAGTCGCACTGTGCTGCCTCGCTCAGTTGCACTGCTGCCGCTGCTAGTCTTCTGCTGCTCCTATCATGGCTAGTCCTAGTCTTCTCACCTTTGATGCTGAGGGTCGAGCGGTTGACTTTGATGTCTGGCTAGATGATCTGCAGCTTTTCCTTCAGTGCGATAGCAAGGATGGTCTCTCCCTGTTTGATCTTACGTCGGGCGCCTCTACTGCCCCTGCTGCTGATGCTGACAGTACCGTTCGCTCGCAGTGGCTCACGCGCGATGCTGCTGCCCGCCTTGCTGTGCGTAGTCACCTACCGTCTACTGAGCGCGCGCACTTTAGTCAGTACAAGAGTGCTAAGACTCTGTACGACGCAGTAGTTGCACGTTACTCTTCCCCTGCCACTGCTGCGCTTAGCCGCCTCATGCTACCGTACCTATTCCCTGACCTCGCTGCTTTCGCCACAGTCACTGACCTCATTACGCACCTCCGCACTAGTGACACTCGCTACCGCGCTGCGCTTCCTGCTGAGTTCTGCGCCCAGAACCCCCCCCCCCATGTACATCACCCTCTACTACCTAGTCACTCGACTCCCTGACACTCTCCGCTCGGTCAGGGACCACTTCCTCTCTCTTTGCCCAACCACCCTCACTGTCGACCTCCTCGAGGAGCGCCTCCTTGCAGCAGAGACTAGTATCACCACTGTAGGCGCCTCTCGTGGTGACCCCCGTACCCCCATCTTTGAGGGGTGCTCCCCCGTTCCTCTTTTGCCCTCTGTTGCCTCTGCTGCTGCTGTCGACCTTGTTGGCACCGAGTCGGTCAGCGCTGCGTCTGCTCCTAGTGAGAGGCGCCGCATCAGCAAGGGCAAGCGGGGCAAGGGAGCTGGAGGAGGTGGTGGGGGCGGCAGTAGTGGCGGTGGAGGCGGAGGAGGGGGTGGGGGTGGGGGTGGTGGTAGAGGTGGGGGCTTCGGTGGCGGCGGTGGAGGTGGAGGCGGCGGTGGCGGTGGCGGGAGGGGTGGAGGAGGCGGAGGCGGCGGCGGCGGAGGTGGAGCTGGCAGAGGCGGAGCTGTGCAGCGGGGACCCCAGCAGCAGCAGCACTCTCGTGAGACCCCTTCGCCCCAGCAGCTTCGTGAGTGGTACGCGGGGCGCCAGGGGTCTGGAGGTGCTGGTCCCTGTACTTACGTCCTGCGCACCGGTGACCGCACTGGAGAGCAGTGTGGCGGCCTGCACGCCACCCAGCGCTGCTTCGGTCGCCTGACGGACGCCTGGCGTGCCCAGTTCCCGGACGCCTCTGAGATCCCTCGTTGGGGTGATCTATTCAGGTCGGGGGTGGCTATCTTTGATCTTGACTTTGATGCTATTCTTGCTGCCATGTATGCTGTGTCTATTAGTGCTGAGGGTGACTGTTACGTGTGTGTTCCGCCTGACCCTGGAATTGAGGCTGCTGCCCTAGGTGCTAGTGAGTCTGCTGCTCCAGGTACTCGTGAGTCTGCTGCTCTAGGTGCTGGTGAGTCTGCTCTCTCAGGTACCGAGTCTGCTCAGGTCTTTCACACCTTCACCCTCGACTCGGGTGCTTCCCGCTCCTTCTTTCGATACCGCACCACCCTTACGCCGCTCAGTCGGCCGGTTGCGGTCTCCCTAGCAGACCCCTCTGAGGGTCCTGTCCTTGCTCGCTACTCCACTGTCCTCCCGTGGCCGGCGGCCCCGTCAGGCTCCCTGTCTGGTCTCTACCTCCCCTCGTTCTCCACGAACTTGGTGAGTGGTGCTGACCTTCAGGATGCCGGAGTTGACCAGTTCACTCCTGCAGGTCAGCGAGTGACCCACTGCACGTGTGCTCAGACGGGCCGCCACTTGGCCTCGTTTACCCGTCGACCGGGGTCGAGCCTGTACACACTGAACACAGAGTCTCCTCCGGTTGCTGCGTCTGGTCAGGTAGCTGCGTCGAGTTAGGTGTTTGCTGCAGCGTCTCGGTCAGGTCCTGAGTCTGCCCCCTGCTCGTGTCGCCTCCTGTCCCACCAGACCCTCCTCTGGCACCACCGCCTTGGTCACCCCTCCTTGCCTCGTCTCCGAGGCATGGCCTCCTGTGTCCTTGTCTCTGGTCTCCCCCGGTCCCTCCCTCCCCTTCCCCCGGGGCCTGCCCCTACCGGCGTTCCCTGCGTTGAGGGGCGGCAGCGCGCCGCTCCTCACTCCTCCGAGTTTCCCCCGACAGAGGCTCCGCTGCAGACTCTTCACATGGACGTGTGGGGCCCAGCCCGCGTCCGTGGACAGGGTCACGAGCGTTACTTCCTGCTGGTGGTTGACGACTACTCGCGTTACACCACTGTCTTCCCCTTGCGCAGCAAGGGTGAGGTCACTGAGGTGTTGATCGACTGGATCCGCGTTGCTCGTCTCCAGCTCAGAGAGCGTTTCGGCTCGGACTTTCCTGTTCTGCGTCTGCACTCCGACAGAGGCGGAGAGTTTTCCTCCGACCTTCTGCGAGCCTTCTGTCATGCAGAGGGCATCCGCCAGACGTTCACGCTTCCGGCCTCTCCACAGCAAAATGGGATTGCTGAGCGCCGCATTGGCATGGTCATGGATGTCGCTCGTACGTCCATGATCCATGCGGCTGCTCCCCATTTTCTGTGGCCGTTCGCGGTTCAGTACGCGGCGCATCAGATCAACCTTCAGCCCCGGGTCTCCCTGCCGGAGACCTCCCCTACTCTGCGGTGGACGGGGAAGGTGGGTGATGCGTCTGCGTTCCGTGTCTGGGGATCTCGAGCTTTTGTCCGAGACTTGTCTGCGGACAAGCTGTCCTCCCGTGCTGTTCCTTGCGTCTTCCTCGGCTTTCCCCCTTACGCGCCTGGTTGGCAGTTTTACCACCCCACCTCGCGTCGTGTTCTGTCCTCCCAGGACGTCACGTTTGACGAGTCGGTTCCGTACTACCGTCTCTTCCCCTACCGCACTGCCCCCCTCCCCCCCCCGCCGCTCTTCCTCGCTCCCGGTCCTCCCCCGGTAGACCCCCTCCCCCCTCAGGGTCCTGCCCCCTCAGGTGTGTCCCAGGTAGATGCAGTCGAGCCTGTCGAGGTAGCTGCTGACTCTGGTGCGTCTGGGGGTGCTGAGCCTGAGCGTGCGGAGCCTGGGGGTGCTGGGTCTGGGGGTGCTGAGCCTGAGCGTGCGGAGCCTGGGGGTGCTGGGTCTCGGGGTGCTGAGCCTGAGTGTGCGGGGCCTGGGGGTGCTGCTTCTGGGGGTGCTGAGCCTGGGGCTGCTGGGAGTGGGGGTGTGGAGCCTGTCTGTGCTGGACTTGGCGGTCCTTCGGGTGCTTTGTCCCGGCGGGAGCTTCCCTCTCCACAGGAGCTGCGCGAGTGGTTTGCTCGCCGCTGGAGCCGTGCTGCTGGAGCTGGAGGTGCTGCCGGTGCTGGAGGTTCTGCTGCTGCTGGAGGTTGTGGAGCTGGAGGTGCTGCTGGAGCCGGTACTGGAGGTTCTGCTTCTGCTGGGGGTGCTGGAGCCACGGGTCCCGGAGGTGCTTGTACTGGAGGTACTGGAGCTGCTGGGCCTGGTGGTGCTCCTGGTGCTGGAGCTACTGGTAGAGCTGGAGCTGGTGGTGCTGCTGGAGTGGGTGCTACTGGAGGTACTGGAGCCGGAGCGGCTGTGTCTGCTGGTGGTCCTGTTGGAGCTGGAGCTGCTGGAGGTACTGGAGCTGGTGGTGCTGCTGGAGTTGGAGCTGACGCTGGGGGTACTGGTGATGTCCCTGCTGGTTCTGGAGGTGCTGCGCGGCCGCGGCCGCACTTCGTTCCGCTCCTTGAGCAGGTTCTTGGTCTTCCGCCTTCTCCTAGTCCTGCTCCTTCCTTAGAGTGTCCTCCGCCTGTCCAGTCCGAGTCACAGTTACAGCTGGTCTCCCCTCTGCCTGCTCCTTCTCCCTATGCTGGTCCTACTGGAGGTCTTGCTGAGCGTCGTGAGCCTGAGTCGCGTCCTGCGTCGCCTGTTCGTACTACTCGCACTAGTCGTCGTGTTCCACGTCCGCGTCCTCCTGCAGTCCCGGGCACGCATCAGATGGCACTGCGTCCTTCCACTGCGCCACAGCGTGTCCCTTTGCCGTCTCCTCCAGAGTCCTCTCTTCCTGCTCTTGCAGACCCGGCGTCTGACTCCCTTCGTGCTGCCAGTCCTGCTGTCACGCGTTTCCTAGCCACTGTTGTCACTGACCCTTCCTTTGAGTCCACTGCTGCGTCTGCCTTAGTTACCGAGCTTGTCGACTTCGCTGCTCACTGTCGTCTAGACTATGCCGCTAGTCTTGTTGCTGAGTCAGCGTCTGCGTCTGTCTGTCCTCCGTCCGTCGGGGGTGAGTGTGCTCTTAGCACGGACGTCCTTGAGGACCGACAGGAGGAGTTCCAGTGTTTTGCTGCTGCTTTACCTCATCTCGTGTCCACGCTGCTTGCCCCTGAGGGAGACCCGGATGCACCAGACATCCCGACCCCGCGCTCTTACGCAGAGGCGATAGAGGGTCCTTACTCCTCTCAGTGGCAGGCAGCCATGGACGCAGAGATGGCTTCCTGGAAGTCCACAGGCACCTACGTCGACGAGGTTCCCCCACCTGGGGCGAACATCGTCAGTGGCATGTGGATTTTCAGGGTGAAGCGGCCGCCGGGTTCTCCGCCTGTCTTCAAGGCGCGTTACGTGGCTCGAGGCTTCAGTCAGCGGCAGGGAGTTGACTACTTTCAGACCTTCTCCCCGACCCCGAAGATGACCACTCTTCGGGTTCTGCTGCACGTTGCTGCTCAGCGTGACTACGAGCTTCACTCCCTTGACTTCAGCACTGCTTTCCTACAGGGCAGTCTGCACGAGGAGATCTGGCTGCGCCGCCCACCTGGCTTCACTGGGTCGTTTCCTCCTGGTACCCAGTGGAGCCTCCGGCGGCCAGTCTACGGTCTCTGCCAGGCGCCACATGAGTGGCACGACACACTGAGGACTACGCTTGCGGCTCTTGGGTTTGCTCCTTCCACTGCTGACCCGTCGCTGTTTCTTCGCACCGACACCTTACTGCCGCCGTTCTACATCCTCGTGTACGTCGACGACTTGGTGTTTGCTACAGCTGACACTGCTGGACTCGCCCACGTGAAGTCCGAGCTGCAGAAGAGACACACGTGCACAGACCTGGGTGAAATGCGCAGCTATCTTGGCTTGCAGATCACCCGGGACAGAGCATGGCGCACCATCACCCTAACTCAGTCACACATGGTGCAGCAGGTCCTTCAGCGCTTCGACTTCACGTACTCCTCGCCTCAGGCCACTCGCTCTCAGCGCTGCCTTCGGATGAGTCCGTAGAGCCGAGTGGCCCGTACCCAGAGCTTGTTGGCTGCCTCATGTACCTGATGACCTGCCCTCTGAGCATTCTGGCGCGCTATGTTGCTCCTGGGAGACACCGACCAGAGCACATGGCTGCAGCGAAGAGGGTGTTGCGCTACTTGTGCAGTACTTCGGGCTTGGGGCTAGTGCTTGGAGGGCGGAGTCCAGTGGTCCTCACTGGTCACGCAGACGCGTCTTGGGTGGACAACCTGGCTACGCAGCGGTCGTCACAGGGTTACACCTTCAGCCTTGGCTCCGGCTCTGTTTCGTGGCGGTCTACCCGCTCGTCTTCTGTTCTCAGCTCCAGCTGTGAGGCTGAGATCTACGCAGGGGCCATGGCTGCACAGGAGTTACGCTGGCTCACCTACTTGCTGACTGACCTGGGAGAGCCGCCTCATTCTCCTCCAGTTCTGTACGTAGACAACAAGGCCATGCTGGCCTTGTGTCGGGAGCACAGACTGGAGCACAGAACGAAGCACATTGCTCTTCGCTACTTCCTTGCTCGTGAGCTGCAGCAGCGTGGCCAGCTGCGCCTTGCTTACGTGGCCTCTCAGGCCAACACTGCTGATATCTTTACCAAGGCACTTCAGCCTTGTGATCATCAGCGCTTCTGTACTATGCTAGGTCTTGTGCCTACTTGGCCTCACTTGCTTACCTCTTGACTTTGCTTGTTCTGTGATCTATATATACCTGCACTTGCTTGTTTACCTTTATATATGAACTTGCATGTGAACTGGCCTTGTGGCCTTTGAACCTGTGCTCAGACTGTGTGGTGACGTTGTGATCCACCCTGAGCTTGCTTTGCTTTGCTTTGCTTGACTGGTCTTGTGTCCCCTAGTTCTCCCCCACTTTGCCTATGGGGGTGTGTCAGATATATATGCCTTAGCCTATGTAGGCTGTAGTGGGGTAGACACTAAGGGGTACAACTTTCATATTTGTATCTCACACTTTCCTAGTTCATTCATTCATTCCTGTTTCAATCTTCACATTAAGCATCTCCTGGCATGCGGTAATTAAGCATGTCCTGGCATGCGGTAAATAAGTATGTCCTGGCATGCCCTACAGATGACGACATGCGGAAAATAAGCATGTCCTGGCATGCCCTACAGATGACGACATGCGGAAAATAAGCATGTCCTGGCATGCGGTAATTAAACATGTCCTGGCATGCGGTAATTAAGCATGTCCTGGCATGCGGTAAATAAGCATGTCCGGGCATGCCCTTGTTTGATGTTGCCGTCCACTGGCCCCTTTAGGTGCTCATGCTGGAGCAGGGCCGGGTGGTGCAGTTTGGGTGACCACAGCAGCTGGTGGAAGACAGAGAGAGCCATTTCTCCCGCATGCTCTCCCACACTGGCCAGTCTTCAGAGGCCTCTCTGCGCTCTGCACTTGCCAGAGATGGCTTGATGCGGGAAGCTTCACTAAGAGATGCCCCGTTACAAAAAGCATCCCTGGGAGAAGTTTTGGAAAGAGAGGAGGGGGCACAAGGGGAAGCTGTGACCATTGATTTGTTGCATTTGGAGGTTGATGGTTTCCTTGGTGGGGAGTTAGCTGCTGATGGTAGTGTTGGTGAGGGTGGTTGGTCTGATGCTGGTGGTAGTGTTGGTGAGGGTGGTTGACCTGATGCTGGTGGTAGTGCCAGTGAGGGTGGTTGGCCTGATGTTGGTGGTAGTGCCGGTGAGGGTGGTTGGCCTGATGCTGGTGGTAGTGCCGGTGAGGGTGGTTGGCCTGATGCTGGTGGTAGTGCCGGTGAGGGTGGTTGGCCTGATGCTGGTGGTAGTGCCGGTGAGGGTGGTTGGCCTGATGCTGGTGGTAGTGCCGGTGAGGGTGGTTGGCCTGATGCTGGTGGTAGTGCCGGTGAGGGTGGTTGGCCTGATGCTGATGGTAGTGCCGGTGAGGGTGGTTGGCCTGATGCTGGTGGTAGTGCCGGTGAGGGTGGTTGGCCTGATGCTGATGGTAGTGCCGGTGAGGGTGGTTGGCCTGATGCTGATGGTAGTGCCGGTGAGGGTGGTTGGCCTGATGCTGGTGGTAGTGCCGGTGAGGGTGGTTGGCCTGATGCTGGTGGTAGTGCCAGTGAGGGTGGTTGGCCTGATGCTGATGGTAGTGCCGGTGAGGGTGGCTGGCCTGATGCTGGTGGTAGTGAGGAAGATATTGCACGGATACACGGCCCAGCGCTGCAAGACCTCGTTCCTGAAACCCATACTCAATAGCCATTTTGATTGTCTTAACGAGTATGCGATCTGCTAGGCTGCGAAATATAGCTGAACGCGTGCGGTGCCTACAGTAACCACACCTCCTCTTCTTTACACACTTGTTTACACTCGACCAGCCGAAGAAAAGCTTATGGGGAAACATAGGCCTTTCCCTCGTCTCCCATCCCCCTCCTCCCCTTCCATCTGGAACATATGAGTAAGGAGCGTATCCTCGTCAAGGAACTCTTGAAAATTCAGGGCAAGACATACAAAAACGTCTTGGCATTCCCAATACACAACTTGAAATTACGGGGTGGAGACCAGCAAGCACTGTCCTGAAATTCCAGGGCATAACCCCTAGACACACCCTGAATATCAAACGTTTTACCTGATAGAGAGGGGCCTATTGGAACCGATGACTGTGCATATAGTTGTGCGGTTGATCCCAACGATTTCGCATTAGGGTAACGAATACGTGCACGGGCTAGACAGTTGTAGACTGTCATAAGTTGATGTCAAACTACCGGTATGTTTATATATATTGGGTAGGCTACAGTGAGTTGCATATTAGGCAAACTATGCTGATCGACAAAGGCACACCTAACAGTTACGTACTAACACTGGCTACGTTCCTACCTCGTGCCAACCACCGCATGTGGGACTCAATACAGCCATTCACTGACACAGGGTGGCTCGATACGAGGCAAGAACGCACCCTTAGGCACGTCAGCAGATTTTCTAACAGTTATTTGACAACATGCAACCCTAATCACCCTCCCATGTGCCCGACTTGCAGTGCCGTCACACGTGACGCATGTCAGCTGGCATGGCATTGAGCTTGAAGGAGTGGAGAGAAGCCAACCAGGCTGGCAAGAGACAGTGGGTGGGGCAGTGATGTGACTAAGACAATGCTGCTTGCACCGCTGCCAGGGATGAGTAATCGTATTGCTCTGGCGTGTGGAGACAGGGTGGGGGATTTTGGGGGGAAAGGCGAAGGATGAGCAGACACGTGAGGAGAGAGTGAGAAGAGGAGAAGAGAGCAGAGCAAAGCAGAGGGGAGAAGAGGGGAGGACAAGAGAGTAGAGGAGAAGAGAGGAGGTAAGGTTCAAGGGTAAAGAAACTAGCACGTGGTTGACAAGCTACCAGTTGGAAATGCTCACAGCTCTTGCCACTCACACCCATCGCCACTCCCATCCCCTGGCACTCATTGGCGGCATGGGTGCAGGAGGCGGAGCCCACGTTGCCCCAGTCAGAGAAGGCGACGCAGCCCTTGAGGCAAGCAATGGTGTAGGGTGTCGTGCTGCTCGCGTGGCAGTGGTAGAACGCCGGCTTGCCCGCACTGCCATCTCCCACGTGCCCCCCATACTCGTCCACCCCCGAGGGTAGCTCTCCCCCTGCTCCGCGCGGGCCGTAGAGGGGAATGCCGTCTGCTAGGAAGCCCAGCAGCGGGGAGTGCTTGCCGGGGGTGTCCTGCCAGTTATTCGGCGCTGCGATAGGTGCGCAAGGGAGGGGAGAGGGAAGAGGGGGTGGGTTGGGTGGGTGGGATGTAAGGGATGGTGCATGGCATGTGGAATGACTTGGTGCGTGGCATGGTGTATGGGGAGAATACATGGAGATGGCATGGTTATACATGGTATGAGGCAGCGCGGGATGATAGAAACGCCGGCTCGAAGCACGGTTCAGCATGGAAGGAGCAAAAAGGTGCTGACAACTGGTAGCAGTGTGTGAGTGGTAGAGGGGCAGGCATGGAGGCATGGAGCAGCTTACTAACCTGCAGAGCTGGAAGTCAGTGGTGCGAGAGGTGGAGATGGCAGAGGGGTTGGCCACGCCAGGTGCGACGTGGTAGTGGTACTGGCCGAAGGGGGACGGATGCCCCTCACACGTGGCCCCTCGTACTTCAAGGCGTCCCTACCCTGGGCGTCGCATGCACTGCGGGCAGGAGGGCACGGTGGGAAATGGGGAGGATGTGTGGAGGGGGATTCGCCGCCACAATGCACGGCGATAGAGGCCCGCTGGCACGAGGATGGGAATGAGGAGTGGACGCTGGATACGAATGGCATTGAAGAGTGTTGCACCGACGTGAAACAATCCGAACCCACCTGTAGAAGGGCACACCGTTGAGTGCAAAGCCATTGGGCCCCATCTTGCAGGAGCCCACAGAGACAGGGATGGCGGAGGAGGCGAGCGTGGGGGCGAGCGGCACGGCAAAGGAGAGAGTCTGCTGCACTGGCTGGCGTGTTCACCGTGCCCTGCACTCGCCATTCGTACCCCGGGCACCCATTGCTGGTCATCACCCTGTCATGGGGTTAAAGGGTTAGGCAATGGGGCCGGGGGAACAAAGGGGGAGCAGCGCAAGGGGGCAGGGGGAAGGAGACATGAGGGACAGAAGGACATGCACGAAGGGAAGTGATGAGGGGTGGGGATGCCTTGAGTGTGCATCAAATGAAGCAGTTTTGGGGTTAGGAGGCAAGGAGTATGGCAGGCAGAGGGACTCGGCACACCTCTTGCCATTGCTGCTCATGAGCTTGGCGCTCCTGCTACTGCTGCTGTTGCCACATGCACTCCCACCCGATAACCCGCCGCTCATGCCTCCTCCGCCCATGCCCCCTCCGCCCATGCCTCCTCCCCCCGTGCCTGCTCCGCCCATGCCTGGTCCGCCCATGCCCGGTCCGCCGATGTCTCCTCTGGCCATGCCTCCTCCGCCCATGCCTCCCCTGCCCATGCCTCCCCCACCCATCCTTCCTCCGCCCATGCTTCCCCCGCCCATGCCTCCTCCGCCCATGCCTCCTCCGCCCATGCCTCCTCCCCCCGTGCCTGCTCCGCCCATGCCTGGTCCGCCCATGCCCGGTCCGCCCATGCCCGCTTCGCCCATGCTTCCCCCGCCCATGCTTCCCCCGCCCATGCCTCCTCCGCCCATGCCTCCTCCGCCCATGCCTCCTCCGCCAATGCCTCCTCCCCCCGTGCCTGCTTTGCCCATGCCTGGTCCGCCCATGCCCGCTCTGCCCATGCCCGCTCCGCCCATGCCCGCTCCGCCTAGGGTTGAGCAAAAAAACGAACACTTGTTCGGTTCACCTCGGACGTGTTCGAGGCGAACCGAACAGGTTTGTTTTTTTTGCTTAAAGTGTTCGCCAAACAGTGTTCGAGGTTCGCCCGAACATGTTCGTGTTCGGGCCGCTGCTGCAATTTGCCCTGTGACGAACACGAACATGTTTGAGGTTCCCCCGAACACGCCTTCACAGGCGAACGGCGAACACCTGTTTTTGCTAAAAGTGTTCGCCAAACCGAACACTGTTCGGTTCGGCAAACGGATGTGTTCGTGTAGGGGCGAACACGAACATGTTCGTGTTTGCCCCTTGCTCATCCCTAGCTCCACCCATTCCCGCTCCGCCCATGCCTCCTCCGCCCATGCCTCCCCCGGCCATGCTTCCTCCGCCCATGCTTCCCCCGCCCATGCTTCCCCCGCCCATGCCTCCTCCGCCCCTGCCTCCTCCGCCCATGCCTCCTCCGCCAATGCCTCCTCCCCTTGTGCCTGCTCTGCCCATGCCTGGTCCGCCCATGCCCGATCCGCCCATGCCCGGTCCGCCCATGCCCGCTCCGCCCATGCCTCCTCTTTCCATGCCTCCCCCACCCATGCTTCTTCTGCCCATGCTTCCCCCGCCCATGCCTCCTCCGCCCATGCCTCCTCCGCCCATGCCCCCTACGCCCATGTCAACGGGAGTTGTGTGTTGGCCCCGTCCTCTCTTGGGCGGAGCCGACCTCGTGGTCGGGTGTGCGGGAGGAGCAGCTAACCTGCACCAGTGGGCGTCGCCGACTTGGGCGAGCAGGTCGACGACCTAGACGACGCCACTGCGAAGCCGCCGACTTTGGGGAGCTGGCGACCGACATCAACTTGGTGGTAGACGAGGGGCGACGTCGACCCGGGAGGGGCGCCGACTTGAACAGGAGGTCGACTTGGTAGGTCGACCTGAGGAGAGCGTCGACTTTGTGACGCTGACCTGGTGTAGCCGAATTGGTGTGGTCGGGTGACAGCTGGGCTGGTCGACCTGGAGCTGGTCGACCGGGGGTGTGGTCGACTTGGTATGGTCGACTGGTGGTGGTCGTCGACCAAGGTGGTCGACGGGTATGAGGAGAAGTAGCTGGTCGCCGTGGTTGCCCGGTCGAACAGGTTACCCAGGCGATGGGGTTCTGCGCAGGACTGCGATAGTCGCCCAGGTGGTTATGGCGAGGTCAACCTCGGTGGTGGTATCCCGAGGTCGACGTGGCTGATCAGGTCCAGTCATCAGCACGCGGACGACTTGGTGTCTACGCTCTGCAGGTGACACAGCACAGCACGCTAATCAACTGCGAGCACCTACGAAGCAGGTGCGCTGCTGTCCTGCGGGTGCAATGCTGTGCAGCCACCTTGCTGCAGCATTGGCACGCCGTCGACTTGCAGCGTTGGCAGACCGCGACTTTGCACTGCTGGAGCGCGGTCGACCTTGTTGTGCTGGAACGCGGTCGACCGTGCTGCGCTGGCAGTCGACCTTCATGCTTGCTAGCATTTGATGTAGTCTTGCTTGCCAATGTTGTTGCTACTCAATTGTTGTGAACCTTTTCTAGTGAAACTCTTGTCAGATTTCCCCGTGAATATGCAAGTAGTGTGAACACGAGAAAACGACTAGGAACGCAAAGATCACCCTCACAAGCGTGCCTACCCTGTGGACTAGCTCCTGTTGAAGTAGTTATCTTCTCAGCCCATGCCTCCTCCGCCCATGCCTCCTCCTCCTATGGCTCCTCCCCCCGTGCCTGCTCCGCCCATGCCTGGTCAGCCCATGCCTGGTCCGCCCATGCCTGGTCCGCCCGTGCCTCCTCCGACCATGGCTCCCCCGCCCGTGCCTGGTCCGCCCATGCCTGGTCCGGCCATGCTCGCTCCGCCCATGCCTCCTCCGCCCATTCCTCCTCCGCCCGTGCCTCCTCCCGTGCCTCTTCCCCCCGTGCCTCCTCCGTTGATGTCTCCTCTGCCTGTGCTACGCAGTTGTGCAGCTTGCTGTCGATCTGCCTCTGCGACCAGCCACTTCAGGTGGCGTTGTTTCTTCGTCGTCATCTCGCTTGGCCTTCCATATTACGACCTCCCCCACGGCCGCCGACCAGCTGACCCACCCCTTTTCTTGAACGTCATCACATTATCTCGCGCCGTCGCCATTGAAGTTGTAATGTTGTTTGCCAAAAGTGCTTTGGTGAAAATGTTACAACAACGTTAATATAGAACTTCACGTTGGTGCAATGTCACCATCGAACCTGTTGCAGCCTAATTGTGCAAGTCAATGTCGAGGTTACTATGGCGCGCGCTAAGCTATGGTGCGCGAAACAAGGGACGCCATCACATTCAACCGACTGTAAGACACAGAGCCCACCATGTCATACACCCGGGACTTGTGGATAGGGCCAAAGGGCAAGGTATACGTTGTGCTGATAGGGCACCGTGTCACTGATAAGTGGGAGTTGCACCAGGTCATGCTGGCGTTCCGCAATATGACTGGAGGGCATGGGGCAGAGGACATCGTGAAGGTGGTGGAGAAGACGGTGGAGAAATGGAGGCTGCAGGTACGTTGTCTCGGTCTCACACCGACAACACGTCATGCAACATCCTTGGACTCCGCTTGTTGTCCGAAGAGGGGAGGGGGAAGCAGTACTTCAGCGAGAAGACTAACTTCAGGTATGTCGTAATATAATAAGTGTGTCCATTGTAGCCTTGTTGTCAATGCGGTGCATGTTTCGTATAAAAGACCGTCCTTCTAATGTACTAACCTATCAGCATCATGTGCCACCTACTTGAGTACCTATCGGTGCCTCGTGCACATTGTGAATCTGGCCATCCAGTCGGCGCTAGGCGTTTGGGCCAAGCATAGCACTTTGAGGTAGGTACGTGAGATTGCATCCTGGTTAAGCTACACCCCCAAGCATTTTGCAGCCTTCATTGCGATGCATGTGACACTTGGGGCGCTGCCGGACGCTACTCACAAGCTCATCCGAGATAATCCCATTCATTGGGGGTCGACGCACGAGATTATTGTTTCCTTCTTCCTACTGAGACACATCATCTCCATCCATTTTCATGTGGATCAGGTTGGGTCTCGTATGTACGTCATGCGTCTAGCCCCATACCTTCAGATTGAAAATTCTGGTCCTATGGTGTTACATGAAACATGTGTGCACCCCCTCATAAACCTTGTTCGACCTACCAACCCTTTTCGCACCATCCCCCTATACCCATACCACGCCATTCACAATCACGATGAATGAGCACCACCCAAGCAAACAAGGAGACGTTCAAGGCGTTGTGGCAGACAGACGGGGAGTGGGACGCCTTTGTGACTCTAGAGAAGTTTCTCAACCCCTTTACAAAAGACACAAAGGCGGCGTAGGAGTCGACATACCCCATGTACAGGATCGCGTCTGGCAATGAGTACTGGATCGTCACCTTCCTGGGTCTTTTCATGAAGGCGGAGTACGTCAAGCTGCCTCGCTGGGAGCAGATGCACCCGTAGCCGGTGGCACGCGATGGTAGTAGGATCAGAGCCCGAGTGATGACGGAGCTGGTGGTGGCTCTGATGCGTAGGCGCATGGCCGAGTGCCAGGCGAGAGCAACGCGCGAGGCTCCATCCTGATGCTGCACCGATGCCATCAGTTCAGGACGACAATGACGACCCATTCCTCTTTACCAGGGCACAGCTGCCCGAGCGGATGCTAGCTAGTGCAGTGGCGGCGGTGCGAGTTGGGGGGGATAGCCAGTCAGGGATGAGGTGGACATGTACTTGGCTTAGCTACCAGTGTGATACGTTTTTGCGTTGGTGTATTGGCAGCGTGCGCAAAACATGGATATGTTGCGGAAGATGGCAAGGGATTACCTCGCTATCCCTGCCACGTCTTCCACGAGTGAGAGGGTGTTCTACTTAGGGAGAAACCTGATCACCTGGAAAGGCATAGGCTGAACACCGAGCGTGTGAGTGCTTGCATGATGCTCAAGTCGTGGTACTCTTCGCACCCTGGGCAGCGCATTGGAGCGAATGTGGACTAGGGGTTTTTGTGCAACTCCTCTCAGCTGCATGCTGGAGGGGGGGGTGTGGGGGAAGGAGGAGGGGGGATGGTGGGGGGGAGGGGGGGGGCCTGACAAGGGGGGTGAGGAGTAGGAGATGGAGGGAGGGGGGACTGGCAGGGCTACGGTTGGAGGTGCAGGGGACCCAAGCATTGGGGGCTTAGTGGGCATGCTGGTATAGTGTGCTTGTGATTGCATGTTGCCCATATGCCTTGGTGCTGGATGACACCTATGCTTGTGCATTCATCTATGCTTGATTTCCACAAACACTTGTTGCTAATTGATGATGCACATTTGCAAATATTTTTGCGGTGACTGATGTTCTCTTTTTCCTACACCTTCCACATGGTCTCCACATCGCCAGGTCCTCTTCTTGATGGTGTTCACCACCCAATTTGTACCATCATGCTCTCCCCCATTGATACCCTACTTCAGATTTCTCCCCCTCATATTAACCCCCACGGGTTTCCCCCCATTGATACTCCCCCTCAATTTCTTCCCCTCACATTCCCCCCATCAGGTTCTCCCCCTCAAGTGCCCCCCACCCGGTTCTTCTCCTCTTTATCACCATCAGGTTAAACCCATCAGATTCTTCTTTTCATATCCTCCCCATCACATTCCCCCCCTTAGTTTCTCCCCATTAGGTGTTCCCCCTCAGGTTCTTCCCCTCAGGTACTCACATCGGGTTCTTCCCATCAGGTTCTCCCCCTCAGGTGCTCACCATCGGATTCACCTCATCAGGTTCTCTCCCTCGGGTTATCCTCCTCAGGTACTCCCTCTCAGGTACTCCCCATCTGGTTCTCCCTATCAAGATTTCACCCTCTATTTCTTTCTCAGGTTAAGGATTGTTTTGTTTGGAAAAGTGCCAGTGCCCGTACCATTGTTGTGTAATTGTGTGATTGGTTCTTGAAGCAAGTGTCACACCCTGCACATCACTGTTGTTAGCGAATGTATGTTAACCGTCATCATTGATCATGGCCATATTTTATTTTGCGGAAAACAGAGTCTGACAATATAGAAGGGCACTCAAACCCGAACAGGTTCAAGTTCGCCCCAAATACCTAGGGGTTCATGGCAAACACATAAAGTTTTGCCCTTGACCATGAAAACATGAACACCCCTATTTGTAAAAAGGTTCGTGGCAAACCAAACGGGTTCGGTTCGCCAATGGGAAGTGTCCGTCCAGGTTCGTGGCAAACAGGTTCGTGGCAAAAAGGTTCGAGTTTGAGCCACAGCAGCTGCAAGAATTTGTCTATCCAGATTGGATGTGGTCCTTGGTCCTTGGTTGGCACTTGCCAACCCTTGGTTATTAACCCCACCAACCCAACCAGCTCACAATTGTGGTTGCTTGGGCTACAAGCCAACTCAACCATTGCTGATCAAATGGTTAATGCGAAATGGCTCCCGTATAAGCGGGAGATCTTTTGCTGTGGTAGATCTATATTCCCCCCCCCCCCCCCCCCCTTCCTCTATCATGCATCATGACCAAGTTGGAGGGTTCACCTCCGGTACAACCTCTAGCAAGAGTTTGAAGATGTTGGAACATGCATGCTTGTTTTTGCTTAGATTAACTCAACAATGGGAGCTAGACTACCGGGAAGGCACGTTTGTGAGAGTGATCAAAGTGTTCCTTAGCGTTTGCTCGTGTTCTCTTTATGCGCACATTCATGGGGAGAAGTGGCAAGAGTTTCACTAGCAAAAGTTCACAACAATGGTTGCAACAACATTGGCAAGGTTGACTACATCAGATGCAAGTCTGCCTAGCATGCAAGCAGGTCAACCTCCAGCGCAACACGGTCGACCGCGTTCCAGCACTGCAAAGTCCGCACCACTCCAGCGTTGTTGAAAGGCGGTTTGCCAATGCTGCAAGTCGAGAGCGTGCCAACGCTGCAGCAAGGTTTCTACACAGCGTTGCACCCACATGACAGCAGCGTACCTACTCCGCAGGTGCTCGCAGTTGGTTGGCGTGCTGTGCACCGTCACGTGCACAACGCAGACACCAAGTCGGCCACATGCCGTTGACTGTGCCTGATCAGCCATGTAGACCTTGGGATACCACCTCCGAGGTTGGGTTCGCCAGAACCACCTGGGCAAATGTCGCGCACCCTGCAGAACCTCGTCGCCCTAGTAACTTGGTCGACTAGGACACCACCATGTCGGGGTTGACTTGTGTGGTCGGTGTCGACCAACTGATGTACGTTGCCGTCGACCACCCAGGTCGTCAACCACCAGCCGACTTCACTAAGTCGGCCACTCCCCAAGTCGACCAACTCTTGGTCGACCAGACTGGCCATTAGCCGACTGCACCAAGTTAGCTTCCCCAGGTCGGCGCCCCGAAGTCGGCGCCCCTCCCACGTCGACAACTCCCTTCGTCGACCTCAGTCAAAGTCGACCGCCAGCTTCCCGTCATCGACGGCTTTGCAGTGGCCCCGTGTAGGTCAACCAAACCCGTCGATCAGCTCGCCCAAGTCGGCGTCGCCCACTGGAGTCGGTCGGCTGCACCTCCCGCACACCCGACCACGATGTTGGCTCTGCCCAAGCAAGGACGAGGCCAACACCCAACTCCCATTGACACTCCATTGCCACGTTCACGCTTGGGCTTCGAACCCACACGACAGTACTCCACGGAAAAAGAACTTGTCGTCGTCGGCATGCGCACAACACACAGCACCTGCGTCACCACACCAGCCATGTAGAAGGGCACGGCACCTACTGCTGCACGTTGTCGTCACCGTCGCCGACGTTGGCCAAGCGCACTTGGGCGATTGAAACGGAGCACCGGATGAAGGCAAGAAAGTGCAGCACCTTTGTCAGGAAGTCCGCCGGCTGCTCGGAGGTCGGGATGTACCTCAGCACGAACTTCCCGCGCTTCACCATCTACTGCAGCCAGGCATATCGCCGCTCCATGTGCTTGAGGTTGCCCTGCAGGCCCAGGCCCTCGGAGACCGTGATGGCCAACTTGTTGTCCACCCGAAGGATGGTCGGCGTCCCAGCGTCTAGCAGCTGGAACTCCGCAAGAAGGAATCAAATTTGACGTCCCTCCTTGCCGGCCTCGGTCAACAAGAGGGTCGCACACTTGATGCGCTTGCTCAACCAGGAGACTGCAGCCCATCCGAAGACGAACACGTAGCCGCCCGTGCTCCTCCAATTCTGCTTGTCGCTGGCGTCGTTGGCGTCCACATAGCCGACCAAGTTCAGCGACTCTGCCCCACCGCCGAACTCCAGGGCGGTGTCACGGGTGTCGGAAAGGTAGGCGAGGCAGCGGTCGATCTCGCGCCAATGCTGGTTGCTCCTCACCGCGAGGCTGCTCCCCAGCTTGCTGCAGGCGAAGGAGATATCCAGCCTCGTCGTGAGCGAGGTCCCCACTCTCCCTCACTACCTATTCTCAGCATGTCTTTGCCGTTTTCCAAGTCACAGGCATCAGGCGTTCCAACTCAGGCACATGCACAAGCCCTGATGCATCCCTTTTGACACATGTGTGTATTTAAACACAGCATTCACCTTTCCTCTCCCGTCCTTCTTGTTGTTACTCGCTCTCCTCAGTTTACACACTGAGGCGTCGAGCGGGCACTGGACTACACACACTTACCGCAGGAGGAGGGGCCTGAGAAGAGGGAGGGGGGAGCAAGGGGAAGGGGAGGTAACAAAACGGGCAGCAAGAGGAAATGGAAAGGGGTATTTTGCATGGTGGGCGAGGAGCAGAGGGAGGAGAAAAGCGAGCAGGGGAGAGGTGAAGAGCAGGTGGAGGAGCAGGTGCTAGCTGGGTGGCCGAGCAAAGGGGCAGTGAGGGTGGAGGGGTTGACGGTGCGGTATAGGCCCACTCTGGACCCTGTGTTGCAGGATGTGAGCTTTCAGCTGCGCGGAGGGGAGAAGTGCGGTGTTGTGGGGCGAACCGGTGAGCACTGCTGTTCGTGCCAGCTAGCCATTGATGGTGGTGTGTGCTGTGATTGCCACTTACCAGGGAACAGCGTGGTGGTGGTGATTCACGTGGCACTGCAATAAAATGGTTTCTCTGTTCATGAAGCGGGCTCTGGTAGACTGGTACACATGTCACTCCCTCCTACCCTCTTCTTACGCCCCTATCATCCGCACCCCCCTCGGCATACCTCCACTCCGTGCTCACCATCAGGCGCACGCAAGTTAACACTCATGATGGCTTTGCTTCGCCTCGTGCAGCCATGCAGCGGGCGCATCCTCATAGACGGCCTCAACACCGCCACCATACCTCTTACTCCCCTGCGCAGATACGTGTGTGTGCTTGCACTCCCTTTGATGCTTCTCCCACCCCACCCCACACCACCCCACACCACACCACCGTCGCTCGCATGCATGTGCCTGAGATGGAATGTGCGTGAGGACAGTTTTCAAGCACGGACGTGCCTCCGTTACAACGGTGGGCAGTTTGAGTTGAGAAGTGATTTTTAGGCTGTATCTAGTGATTTCTTGATTCCCTTAATATCCCTTGCACCACCCATCTCTTCATTTTGCTCATCTCGTATTTCCAAGTACTCACCAATCTCTGCACCGTTCACTCCATTTGCCACCCTTCCCTCTCACCCACCCTCCTTCCCTCCCTCCCTCCCTCCCTCCCTCCCTCCCTCCCTCCCTCCCTCCCTCCCTCCCTCCCTCCCTCCCTACCTCCCTCCCTCCCTCCCTCCCTCCTTCCCTACCTCCCTCCTTCCTTCCTCCGTTAATTAGAATGCCAATTTGTTTTCCTCTCTCTCACCCTCCCATCCCTTCTTCCCATTTTCCTCCATCTCTCCCTGCACAATGAACAGGTCACAGCGATACCTCTGGATCCCGTTCTCTTTGGCAGCTCTCTCCGGTTCAACCTTGACCCATTCAAGTGCGTCCCAGTCTTCCTGCAACCCACCCCGTTTCTTTACCTCAAGTGCTCACTCATATGCCACGGTCCTCTTCTGCTCTTCTCTTTGTCAACACTTCAGTTTTGTCACATCTAACCCCTTCAGATTGCGCCTTGTCCTGTCGGCACTCAAATGTGGCATCATAGATAGGTCGCAGTGGTGGGAAGGGGTGCAGAAGATGAAAGGCAAGCCTGGGGCCTTGCAGAGAAGGCATTGGAGCTGACACAAAGGTTGCCTATTAGCCTCCACAAAGGGGTTGTTTTGAGCCCTTGGCAGTGTGCAGCTGAGAGGCCCCTGCCCCACTCTCCCCCATCTCACACCCAATTCTTGACCCTTGTACTTCCATCCTCCCTCCTCAGCACCCGCATGGAGCTCTATGGGATACAACGGGCGTAGTGCAGCTGAGGGGCAAGGGGAGGGGTGTGGGGGCTCTATAGAGGGGGCTTTCTCTGCTCCTTGTACTATTTTCTCACACACAGCCAGCTGCCCATCCCCTAACCCTAACCCCTGTCAACCCCTCTCAGCCAGCACCCGGATGCGGCGCTATGGGAGGCGCTGGGCGCAGTGCAGCTGAAGGGGAAGGTGGGTGCGCTGCAGAGCGGGCTGGAGGCGAGCATGAGCGAGTTTGGAGAGAAATTCTCTGTGGGGCAGCGCCAGCTCCTGTGCCTTGCACGGTGGGTGGGTGGGCTGCTGTGCTGCTGTGCACTGCTGAGGGCGGCTTAGGATGGGGGCATTGGGAAAGACTTCTCTGTGGGGCGTGAGAGGTGATGCGTGTGCGCGTGCGTGTATACAAGACAATTGGAGCCTTTGCGGCAGTGTTTCAGAACTCTAAGAAAAATCTTGTTACCACTGGCAACATCTCATCCCAAGCCCCTCCCTCCGCCTCCCTCCTTTCATCCCCCCTCTCCTTTTCTGCACTGTTTATGGTCGAATACAATCTCGCACTTGCCTACTTTTCACATAAACATAATTTTGTG